AAAAGTTCTGTTGCTATGATTGTGCTCCATGCCCAGAGGGGAAGATTTCAAACCAGATTGGTAGGTAATGCCCTTGCAGCCTAATAACCACATACGGAAACTGACACACAGACTGGGCTTGAGCTGGGCCACTTTTATTTAATGAACATAACAAGATCAGCAGAGGAGGATAAATTCAAAAGGCAGAACTATCTTGACCCAGAACTGTAGCCATTGCATGACACACAGGGCTTTCCCCACGCAGAACCAGTGCTTTTTTTTGGGGGGGGACACAGTGGGACGCGTATCCCTAAACATTTTGTGTTGCCATGACTAATGTATGGATGGACTGGGGCCCGGGGAGGGTAGTTTGGAGCGGCTGTGGTGGAGGCGATGGCTCTGCTGCTACTTCTCCTTCTTTTGCCGGTCAAGTAGACCCCTCCGCTGCCGCTGCCATTCCCATCCTCTCAGCACCGCATCATATTTGGAGGAAACTCAAAGCAAACTGAGGAACGGGGGGAGTAGGGGTGTGGCAACCCAGTGACAACCTATGCATACCCTGAAATTGACAGGAGCTATGTAAGAGAAAGCCTCAGGCCAGCAAAGGAAAGAATTTGCTACCCTACAATCTCTGGTCGCTTATTGATTTTGAAACCCTGCCTGACCCTGCTTTGCTTTGCAATTCTGCTAGCAGATTAATTGCTGCTTCACCAGAGGATACAGGAATCCTCAGGTATCAATCCAGCTACGATTGTGGGAGAGAGAATAACCAAAAGCCGCAGCAAAGGAGGCACATCCCTGATAGGTTGGAATGAACCTATTCTTTTTTTTAAAAAAGGGACTGGCAGGCTGTAAGTGAAAGGGAGCAGAGAGATGCCCCTGCACAAATGAACAAGTGTCACAGGGGCTGGGAATCAAACCAAACGGTTTGCTCCTTATATTGGGCCCTAAAGCAGCTGTCCCCTCTCATATCACTTTTATATGTGACAATATGTTGACTGCTGGTTGGTGTGCTGTCTCCCATGGCCAATGCACCACAAATGTGCCTTGGCAGCCAGTCCTGCTGTGGTGGAATAGCCATAATGTGCAATTTGTCACAATACAGGGTTCATTCAATGTTCTAGATCACATGAATCAGAACTGGATTTCTATTTAAGCTTTTCTTTATGTTTCTCAGATATGGATGCATGTTCCTATTGCCCAGAAGATCAGTATCCAAACAAGGAGAGAAATGGATGCATCCCCAAAGTTATACATTTTTTGTCCTATAAAGAACCTTTAGGAATCACTTTAGCCTCGTTTAGTGGTTTATGTTCCCTGATTACTGTTTTGGTGCTGGCTATTTTTATCCAGCACAATGATACCCCCATAGTCATAGCCAACAACCGAGAGCTCACCTACACTCTCCTGGTCTCCCTCCTGCTCTGCTTCCTCTCCTCTTTGCTTTTCCTCGGCCAACCTGGGAAAGTGACCTGCCTTCTCCAACAACCTGCTTTTGGCATCATCTTCTCTGTAGCTGTTTCTTGTGTGTTGGCCAAGACCATCATTGTTTCTCTAGCATTCATAGCCACAAAGCCAGGATCTAAGATGAAGAAATGGGTGGGAAAGAGACTGGCCCATTCTATTGTCCTTTCAGCTTCCCTCATTCAAGTTGTTATCTGTACTCTGTGGCTGATAACATCTCCCCCCTTCCCTGATCTAGACATGAAATCAGTAGCTGAAGAAACCATTGTGCAATGTAATGTTGGGTCTGTCACCATGTTCTGTTGTGTTTTAGGCTACATGGGCCTCTTGGCTCTCACCAGCTTCATTGTGGCCTTCCTGGCCCGCAAGTTACCTGACAGTTTTAATGAAGCCCAGTTCATTACTTTCAGTATGTTAGCATATTGCAGTGTTTGGATCTCTTTTGTTCCAACCTACCTGAGCACAAGAGGGAAACACATGGTGGCTGTGGAGATCTTCTCCATCTTGGCATCCAGTGCTGGGTTACTGGGTTGTATCTTTTCCCCAAAATGCTACATCATGGTGCTGAGGCCTGAACTGAACAGCAAGGATCAATTAATACGAAGAAAGGATTAAGCCATCTGTCTTCACTCATAATACCCTAGGGTCTGTTGGAGAAGGCAGTTGGGAGAAAATACATGCACACAACATTAGTTATAGACATTTGCTTTAAAGTTATGACTGCATTTCTCTACAAAGTATAAGCTGTATTTCAATTTGACATGTTCCACATGCATATTTTCGATTTCCACTCAGGCCTTCATTGGACATTGGTAGTTGTGATGGGTTCCTTCATTTCTGTATCAGAATTTCTCATTTTATCAGTTGAAAATAATAAATCCATTTCTGTTTTAATACATGTGTTGTGGTTTCCTTCTATTTCTTCTCCTTGGGAGTGTTTTTCAATAAAAGAGGAAACTGGAGGAAACTGTCAGCATCATTTCTCTCAGTTTCTTGTTCTTTTGTACTTTAGAACTTTAATCCAGTTTTAATTTCCAAAGCAAATTGCAACATACTCATATGGTGGTGGTTTGCACTGCTGTCTCTTGATCAGATTGGAAGGCAGTGGTGGGCTGTCTTCTCTATCCCATGAGGACAGGATAAAAGG